GTGAGTGAGTGTGGGAGAGAGGGCGAGCGCTGTAAGAGCAGTCACTGTCGAATAACTCTGGGCAGATGTTTAATCCGTCTCCCCTTAGATTACCCAGCGCCCCCACGTTCTACTCACACCTTGCAGATACAAGAATAACCACAGGTAAGTCAAATCCCCCCACTCCCATTCCCGCCCTCTAGATGTCATCGTGATAACAAACACACAGGCGGGTAGAGTTTAGTTAAGAGTGCCCCCCCCCCACCCCCGCACAAACTGCAGGCTTTGAGCACCCGGCACGGGCCGGGGAGTCTGGGGTCGGGCTCGCAGTGGTCCTGCATGCCGGCGGTGCGTAACAGAGCATGCTGGGCCCAGACAATGGAACCGGTTGTGGGTGGGTGGGGGGGTCGTCTTCACCCTGCGGAGCATGGGGGCTCCGGGAAAGACATTGGAGTGTAAACGGAGAACAATGTCTGAGGAGTGGATTTGTACATCGGCCAAAAGGGGTGGGGGCTATTATTGCACACCGGAACCTCAGGGACAAAGGCGGAGATAGTGGCAGCTCCGCAGTCCACATCGGGGAACCTGTCACCACTCCGCGAGGTACCAACCAATCAGAGGCTGGCTCCGCACGGAAAGGCGAGAAAGGGCGCCTCCCGCTCCCGCCAGGCAATGACCCGCCTCCCGCGCGAATCACACCCCGCTTTCCCTACGGGAAGCGTCTGGGAATGACAAGGCCGGCCCAGACCCGACAGACCCCGTGGGGAACGCAGAGACAGGAAGTGCGGGAATGCAGGGGCTATGGCCGCCAGTGCGATCTGCCCAGCGGGATGTCAGGGGGCGGCGTGGACAAACACCGGCGTCACCGCGGGATCGATACCCCAGGACAGCTGGGAAATATTTATTCAAGGTACTGGAGCCATTTGCCAGGAGGTCAAATCACCCCAAAGAACTAAAGAACTTCCCTCCCCCGAGGAAGACGACCAAATACATCACAACAAGTAGCACGGCTCATGAAGAAAAGGACTCTCTCCGGACACAAAGGGTCTGTTTTCCACAACACCAGAACCTGGCTGAGGTTTTGGCATTGGACGGGTCATAGATAGATGACCAAGTAGCGATTTGCAAGCCTTTGCTCAACAAGCCAACAACTCTACAGTATGACCCACAATCCACTAAAGCAGTGTTTGCCAATCCAGTCCTTGGGGTCCTGCAGACAGTCCATGTTTTTGCTCCCTCCCAGCCCCCAGTATGGAGCAAAAACATGGACCGTCTCTGGGTCCCCAAGGACCGGGTTGGGAAACACAGCACCAAAGAAATAAACAGAATTAACATGCAGCGAATGGCAGCAAGAACCAACACCTCCTCACGACCTTCACAATGACTGGCCAACAGCTGAAGGACAACGAAGCAGATCGATAAGAGCACGCCACCTCGGGCCTCGGGCCGGGCTCGGGTCACGCGGCGCGTTATCCCCGCACCCCAGCACAGCGCGTGACGCAATGTAAACAGGCCAGAACTGAGGAGCAAGGTCTCAAAGGACTCCGCCGACAAGGCGCTCGCTCAAGGCAAGAGGCCTCAGTGGATGGGGTGGAGTTTCCAGGGTTACGGGGCTTTACAGCTGTCATCAAAGAGCCTTTTGGGGGTGGGGGGGGGGGGGGGGGGCTCTCCAAAAAAAAAACAAAAAGTCAACAAATAGTAACACAATAAACCAAAAATTATACCTCATTATTACAGCCTGTAGGTTTGAGCAAGTATTTAAGGTTCTTGCAAGATCCTAAATAAATTTCAATGGGGGGAGGAAAAGGAGGAGTGGGGGGGGGGGGGGGCTTAAGGGCCATCCCCAGCCGCTGAGGCGGTAAAGCGCATCTTCAGAAGGAGCGAGCTGGTAATTTACACTTCAGAGCGAGCGTAAGGAGAGGAGAGGCTGAGGTGTCTGGTCAGAGCCGCCTGCTTCCCCCATGTGACATTCCGCTTCCATTCGCCCGTCCCTTGTTGATCATTGACGGAGGCAATGTCCTATTGCGGTCACCTACCCCGAATCGCCTGATGGCCGCCCCCCTGCGGGGCAAATCCGATCTGCTTAGACCTGGATTTCAGCGTTATTTACTGAGCTGGCCTCCTGCTATTTACAGGACAACTATTTAGATGCATGTGCTATAAACAGCCAATCACGTGATGCTTCATTAAAATCACATGACCGAATTTAGACTAATGAAATGTGTCAGGCAAACTCCTCAGCATTGCTGAAAGACAGATCTCTTCCTCAGAGGGGACTGAGCTTGCCAGAAAGCCCCCCCCTTCATGCCTGCCAGCACGTGGATCTCCCCCGTAATAAAAGAAAATTCTCCGCTGTTTTCCCACTACATCAATCGCGCCTCAGCGACAGTGATGAATGTGTCAAAGGCACCAGCAGGGGCCCGGCGCTGACTCAGGCGAGCCCCCCACTGCCTGCTTTTTAATGGTGAAGCAGTGTCATCCTTTTAAGTGTCTGTAACCCCCCCACCCCCAGAGAACATCAGTCTAAAAGCAGGTTTTCAGAGGGCCTGTGTTAACTTCTCCTGTGCGTGTGCGTGCCTGTGTGCGTATGTGTGTGTGTGTGTCATGTGACCCACAGTCAGAAACATGGTTATGTCCAAAACAAAATGACCACTCAGGCTTCCCACAAACGCCACGGCTGACGAGTCAGAGCCTGTAAAAACCTGCCCGAGATCAGATTTCCAACCAAGCGGTCAAAAGGAAGCATGAAAAGTCAGCAGAGAATGGAAACACACAGCTTTACAGCATCTTATGAAATCTGAGATAATGGGGAAATCACTTACAGACTGTTTTAATAAAACCAATCCTCGGTGCACATACTCCCAGGCTCCCGTCAATCATAAAGACCACCAGGTGACTGTAGCCGCATAATTACCCAGAGTAGTAATTTAGCTTTATGATTACATTTGCGTGGGTTTTAATGAGGTTTTTATGAAATTAAAGGACAGAGGAGGACAAGCAGGGAGATACATCAGCTGTTCGCCGAACCGTCGTAGTGACGGACGGACAACTTCACATGATGGAAACGTCTGTGCCTCAGCACTGAGTAAGCGGCCAGGCATTCCTACTTAGCGGATAAAAGGTTATGCTTTACAGCCTTTACACACCCAGATGTGTCGGAATGTGCCTTACTGTCGTCACCCCCAATTATCAGTTCATTGGCGTTATCCTCCAGGACGGGACTTTAAAATACTACAGCCCTCTGTAAGGTCAAGTTATACTCATGCCATTGATTAATACCTTATAGCCAGGTGGGGAAAGTGCTTTTTTTCGTGCATTTTGAGATTGTGATCCTGGCAAAAGTGCCGTTTTATAAATAAGGTGTTAGACGAGACGCTGGCAGACTTAACTTCAGCGCCGTTACCGCGTAATGGGAGCAGCCCGTGTTGTTTGCTTACGGCCAAAAGAGGCAAAAGAGGCGTATTTTTGACAAAGTGGCAATGTAAACAAGGCTGACAGTGATAAATGACGGCATTCAATTTGCTGTGAACGTTGCGTGTCACCTTGGATGAGCGAGCCTACTAATCAGATTAAGATAATCCTGGAACCAGGTCCCTTAAAGCGCGTTCACGAGTTTTATCAGTTAAATAAGTCTTTATCGGGGGCGACAGAAGACGACACGGCGGGAAAGCAAACCATCGTGAAAAACATGATGTTCCCCCATCCCCCACTAGCCCGGACAACAAAGTTAAAACAGCTACCTGTGCGTTTAATTCGGCATATCAATATGTAGGCAGACCTGGATCGCTGCCGATTTCCATCTTAACAAAAGCCGACGCTGCAAAGATCTAGCAAGCTTATTAACAAAGCAAAGGACTTCCAACTTCTCCCAAACTGAAAAAAACAGCCTGTGGTCGCGCCCCCTCCCCTCACCCCAATAACAAAGAGGAGGAATGGGCTGTTTGGGGGGGGGGGGTGTTGATGCATGATGTTGACCTTAATCATTTTTCCCCTGTCCCATTACTCTTAGAAAGATCAAACAAGCTCAATTTCTCTAACAGAGTTCGTTTCAGGCAAAGCAATCCGGGATAATTGCCTGGTTAAACTTCCAACAGCGATATACCGGATTCATAATGATGACTTTAATATAGGACGCGCAGAAGCATGATGAATTACACAAGTTATTTGCACATAAATAATACCACGCGTGTCATCCCGGCTCCAATAAACCCTTTCCGACATCTGAACTTAGTTCAGCCTTAAATAAATTACAGCAGATTAAATAATGGAAGTCAAAGTACGCCTTGGATGAACGTGACGGCGTATATTTTAACCATGAATGTAACAAAGCCGAACTGGGGCATATAGACGGGCAACAATAAAATGCCTCCCTGTTGTGAACTTGAATTTTCTTCCCCTTAAATTACAAGGAAACTAGCGACTTTCTAGGAAATAACAGACAAGCGGCCGCCGATCGCTTTCCATTCTCCGGCAGTAAATAACTGCGAGATAAACGAAAACATTTGTCTGTCCGGCGTGACGGAATAACAAACAATTCGGCTTTAATATCCTGACAAAGTGCTGAGATGTGAACGCAACATATAGGGCTGCCGATCGCGGGGTAAATATTTTGCCAGTTTGCTCATGACGTTAAACAAAAACAGCAATGAACAAAAAAGGAAAACAAACGGGAGTCGCCGAAGCACATGGCCGCACCGCATCCATCAGAAGCCCTCATTAAGAAAACGCAGAAATCACGTTTCAAACGTACATGCGAAATGCCCGGTGCACCGCCCGTCTGCAAATTAATACTATCTGTACATTATGCTGCGATCGTCAGGAGACCATCATTAACTGCTTCTGGTTGGTAAAATAATTAGCCCAACTAGCTAACTATGGCTAGCAAACAATATCAGAAGTTCTAAACTGTTTAGTCGTGGGCTTGTTCACGGTTTCAGGGGCGAGTGAATAGGAGACGAGCGACGTGCATGTGTGAAGCGAAAATATCCAAAAAAAAGAGCAAATGAACACATCAAATTTACCTCGATTTCAAAGTCTGGAAGATTGAATGCTGTCCTGAACAGCGAGCAAAAGTGCGCTATGGCGGGGACTTCCCACCAAGACTGGATCTCTTCCACAGAAATTGTACATCCCTGGGACATCTTCCAACTGCAAGTGTTCTAACTTTGTCTGTCACATCAGAAGAGCGGGTCAGCATCAGCCTAACGCGCCTAACGCCGCTTAAATGTATAACTTGTTCAGATGAAACAAAGTTGCTGTTGTTGACCTTCCATCCGGCCAGTTGCCATTGCAACCCTGAGAGCTCCAATCTGCTTCAATCTAAATTTCACAAGCAGGGAACAGATGGGGGGGCGCTACCAATTCGAGGAAGGGGGGGGTCTGGTGGCCCAAGCGAAATATGTCAATAAGATACTTTAAATTCTCGTCCTTATATTCTTCATTATCATCCTGTTACTCTGTGTTGTGTTAATCAAAGAGTGGCTGCTGTAATCGGGCACTTTGAATATGGCGACATTTTAACTGTTCTGACAAAGTAGCGCAGGCAGTAGCTACCTTCGGCGCGGGGTGGGTGGCTCCCCATTTAAAGGGAATGGTGGGGCGGTGTGGGCCAGTTCGGGAGCAAAGTGGGGTTTGCTCTGTGTGCATATGAAGAGATCCTGTAATGTAAAGCGGCATATCGCGGGAAGGGAAGGGAAAGGACAGTGCAAGTCAGAAAGAGTGTGGGGGGATATTTCTTTCTTTCTTTCTATCTATCTATCTATCTATCTATGTATCTATCTATCTATCTATCTATCTATCTATCTGTCTATCTGTCTGTCTGTCTAATTTACTTTTTATTTCTATTGCAGTGACACTGCGAAATGGTTGTTTAATGAACATTTAAACTTGCTCATTTAAAGGTTTTAGACAGCAATGTAGTTCATTATAACCGTTATAAATCCGTTATATTAAACGACTGTTTATTTTACAAAAACATGTAATTACACGCTAACCTGCAGGGTAAGGTGGACCGCCTATCCGTTTTATTAATTTTATCTTTCTTTCTTTGTGTATTAGTTTAATGTTGCGCCTTTCTCCTTTACGGGTTATCTCATGCTTTTAACTCCCCCTGTAGCTGAAAAAGTTAAATGCATGCGTGGTTACTTTCCCAGATCTACTGTACGTACAGTTTAAAATTTCTACAAATTTGCTAGAGACTAAGTTATATCTTTTGCCAGGCCGTCGGTAGACAGTAGCCCTTTGTTGTTAACGAACCAGCCCCCATAAATTAGACTCTACATTTAACCGCGTGTCATGACACATGGGAAGGCGCAGTGTAGCGTGATGCACAGGATCCCGTAGACCAATGGAGGGATTCAGATTTGACCCACTTTAACTGAATAACATTGGTGCTGCTGGTGGCAGACAGCTGTCACTGTTCAGTCGATGCTGCGATGGGGGTCTCGTCCCCCGGGGGACACTCCATCTCGTGCTGTACCGCAATGTTGCTAGGAGACAGAGCGTGAAGATGCCCACGGTGGACGAACTTCGCCTCGACAATCGCTATTTGTGCTCCTGAAACACACCTACAATATTCAAGCATCCATCTATCTTTCAACCGCTCATCTGCTAGAGCGTTGCGGCAATGCAGAAACATTTCCAGCCTGAGAAGTAGGCTCCTTTCGGAATAATCATAATTTCATCCTCTGCGCAAAGCATTTGTTAGTACAGTACGCATGTCATTAACCATATGGATTGCAACGTAATGCAATTAAATTTCCAGTAATTTATAGCCTACTTAAATGGTCTAATAGCTTTGTTTTTAATAAAACTATAACTCTTGAATATTTAATGTTTCTAGTATAGATCTTTAAGTGATGTGGCATATTTGTCTACAATCCTGACGTGATTTTAAAAATTTCGTTCCAGAAATCAATAATGTATGATCTCATCTCATTCATCTTAAATTTTCTAGCTCTGCTGACATTTTTGTATGTAGCAGTTACACCCAATTTTGCAGTTCGTTTTTCTACTGATAATTTGAAATGTTTACATTTAGTCCTGCTGTATTCAGAAGATTCAGAAGATGCCACCGTTAGCTGGGATCACACCAGCGACCTTCCAATGATAGGCACGCCACCGTTACCTGGGATCACGCCACTGTTACCTGGGATCACGCCACTGTTACCTGGGATCACAACAGCGACCTTCCGATGATAGGCACGCCACCGTTACCTGGGATCACGCCACTGTTACCTGGGATCACACCAGTGACCTTACGATGATAGGCACGCCACCGTTACCTGAGATCACGCCACCGTTACCTGGGATCACAACAGCGACCTTACGATGATAGGCACGCCACTGTTACCTGGGATCACGCCACCGTTACCTGGGATCACACCAGCAACCTTCCGATGATAGGCACGCCACCGTTACCTGGGATCACACCATAGACCTTCCGATAATAGGCACGCCACCGTTACCTGGGATCACGCCACTGTTACCTGGGATCACACCATAGACCTTCCGATGATAGGCACGCCACCGTTACCTGGGATCACGCCACTGTTACCTGGGATCACAACAGTGACCTT